ATTTTGTCAATATTTAACCACATTTTAGAAAAAAAACACATAAGTTGGAAAACAGTTACAGCAACAGACACGGCACTTCAAAGTCACTATCTAAAAACAGAAAAGAATCACTATCTCATCTCTGCCAATACTTATTAAAGACGTGGTGAATTAACTAAATGATAAAACTACCACTACATCGACTCAAACGCAGAAAGAATAACATCGATCAAACAAACATAATACACATTATCACAACAAATACGAAATTGACATTGACACTGATAGTTACCTAATTAATGGTTCCGAATCGCCATGAATGTATTTTTTGAGTTTCGAAAATACGCTATGTTTACTTTATGAAATGGTGAGATAAAATAAAATGATGTAAAAGAATTATGTACCTATTTTATTTTCTACTTTAAAATTTTATTTACTTATACAACGACTAATGCTAATGAGGCGAACAAAGATTTTAAAGTTCATTGTTAAACCTCGGAAATAAAGATTTCGGAAATGAACTTTTGATATACGGATATATATTTTTAGCATCATTTAAATGATATTTTAAATGTAGTTAACAAAAACGGTTAAAAGTCACTACATAATACACATAAATAAAACATTATTTTTTGTGTTAATATAATCCATGACGCAGTGTGGTACGGAGTATGGGCATTGTCCTTTCCGAAGACCTACAATGTGAAAGGATCGAGTGAAAATTTTCTTGTTACTATTCGGTGTACTGTTTCTATTAAAAGAAGATATCTGGGTTAGTGTCACTCATTTTTTGTGTTAAAACCAACAACCAACAAATTGATCTGCATTAGCCCATTATGATTCCAGAACAGCCAACATAAGCAATACGACATTCGTCAAATATTTGCTTCCCTTGGCCTTTGTGTTACACGTTTCATAACAAATACATTACAGGCTTCGTGTAGGCGGTTAGGGGATATAAATAGACATCTTCGACAATATACTCGTACATTACATTTATTTATAGATTTTAAGGTCATTCCTTTTATGACCATTGTACATAACGAGTTAGTATGGCAGACTTTGTGGTGTTTATTCTAACCCTCAAGTTATACCCGTCTCACGCATTGTCTATTCGTATTTGCAATTTGTCATTGTCCTTACTGTACTTAGGAGCCTTTCTTTCGGATCATTTCGTTTCGTACCTGGAGGCCTACTCTATTTCAACGAAAAACTAAATTTCGATCGAAATTTCGCACATTTCCTACTCTGTTTCCTTTTCATTTCGAAAATTCGTTCGTCCGAAAATAGTTTGACAATTAAATTCTCCAAGTCTACTCTAATTCACAAAACTTTCAAACCAAAAGTTGAATTTGACAAATAATTGTTCGAAATTTTAATCTCAAATTGAGGAAATGAAAAGTGTTACCTTTTCAGCCTAAAATGACTGATAGACTATTTTTAATCAAGGCTGCTTAGCGTGAGGAACATTTTTTAGCATTCAATTTTAATTAATTATTATATTTCCAATTCTTCAAAGTATTAAACGACAAATTTAGGTTGACATACAATGAAGTGCATCAACTCTACAAATTAGTCGGCTAACACTGTCAAAGAAGGTTCTTTTAATGTCATCAAAAATGTAGTAAAGTAATATTGTTCCCAAGTAAAACAGGTAATATAAAAAGTGGAGATAAATGAACTCACAAACATGACTCATTCCATTCGTTCATGAAAATTGTCTGTGATTCCGAACTTTATGTGCGTGTTCGAAAATGAAATAGAGTAGATTCATTGGCGAAATTTCGTTTAAAATCCGTTCGTTACCGAAATTTCGTTTCGGAGAAAGAGAGTAGAGCTCCTGTACCGAACCTGTACAGATTTTTTACCAGGAGCCACTTCTTGACCAGTTCGGTTTCGGTACGGTATCGTTTCATTTCGTTACCTACGGTGATTATCATTTGTTTATATTTGTCTGTCACGTCGGACGGGCGAGTTTTACATATTCGATGTAGGTCCCAAGGAACTCCCCTCGGAGATCAGAAGCCGCATAGACGAAGAAGCGGCTAGACTCGACTGTCACGTCGGGCGGGCGAGTCGAATAGTTTGGTGGGATTCGGTCCAGTGTGTATGCGCCCAGTGAAGAATCTGTACTCAGCGAGATAACTCTCACTTGATTACATGCACTTGGATAAAAATCTGTATAGATCCGGCACATTTTTAGCCATTAATTTTCGGAAGAACTCGATAGCACAGGTGGAAGTTAAGCAAATTTCGCAATGGCCGGTTATTAGATGGGTGACCGTATTTTTTTATTTCGAGCTCCTCCGTGCTTCGGATGGCGCGTAAAGCCATTGGTTTTTTTTTATAGACAGGTTCGACAAATGACTCCACCCCACCTGATGTTAAATGACGATGAAGTCCAGACGCGAAGATAGCTTCAAGGTTTCGGCTGCAGTCAATAGCACCTAGCATAGGCTATAGAGTGGCAAGTGGTTACAGCGTTCGGCTGCGATCGTCGAACTTAAGCAACTTTCGCAGTGGTCGGTCATTGGATGGGTGACCAAAAATTACTATCTCAAGCTCCTCCTTGCTTCGGAAGGCACGTTAAGCCGTTGGTCCCGGCTGCATCTGCAGTCGTTAGCACCCACTAATCCGCACTAGGCCCGCGTGATGGGTCATGGCCCAATCTCCGTATTCCATCCATAGGGAAGGCCTGCGCCCCAGCAGTGGGGACATTAATAGCCTAATGATGATATAGCATAGGCAGGTTATGGCTCTTACTCCCTATGTCATTCGTAGGGCAGGCCTGTGCCATAGCTGTGAGGACATTGATAAGCTGATGATAATCATATGATTTTCGACAATAACTTGGCTGCAACTATTGCTAAACACTACATGATAATTTTAAAGAAAATAAAATCTCAGGGAGTGTATTCCATGTATTCTTTATAGCATCTTCATCTACTACTAACGGTTTTTCGGGCCACGGATACAGAATTTCGTTCGGTAAAACTGTACTTCCAGGGCCCAAAAGGTGATACTTGTTTTTTTTTGTAGAAAAAGTCTTTTTAACAGTTTTTGAAGTTATACTTCTTTAGGCGCGTTATGAAAAAATGATGAGAGTGAAATTTTAAGATGCGCGCGCATCACTGTAACACAAAATTTTAACGCTAAAGCGACCAACTTCATGCGTTACTTTTGTGTTTACCGCACATTAAGAAAATCTACCAACAAAATAGAAATATAATCTCTATTTAGTGGGTGCTAACGACTGCATTGTGAAGGCCTATCAAAAGTATTTATTAATCTGGAACAACGGAACCAAAGCGCGATTCAGGAGACTACAGCGCCATCTCTTGACCATTGGTGTAGTAGAACCAAAAACCACATCTTCATTTTTTGTAATAAAGTAACAGTTATAGGTATTCATATTTATAATATTTATCCACATGTTTCTAGTTTGTATATTCGGAATACGTGTTTGAGTTTCATACAAGTGCAAATCACATATGTTCTAATAAATTATATTCAGTAGCGATTTTAATTGAATATTTTGATTATTTATTTATTTTTTCAAATTAAAACTGAACGTTATTGACTGTGTCCTTTTCCAGACTTTTTATTAATTTATTGTAATTAATTATTTGCATGCAATTAAAAACTAATTTTAAACGATGCCAAAGAAGGATAACTTCTCACGCGCCTACATAAGTACACGCACCCATTTTTTTTCTGGCACTTCGCCGGCCGCTGCCGCGGCACGCTCGCTTTGCTCGCTCGGCTTGCGCGTTATGGTCACAACACTAACCTTACCTAACCTAGTGTGAAGTATCACCACTTGATAAGAAAAGTAAAAATTTTCAATATTTTTTTCCAAAAAACTACCAGTGCATAAGTGTGACATTTTTTTTAATAATGTGGTTAACAGAAACCTTTTTAACAACAAAAATGCGAAATTACAACCAACAAAACTGTGAAGTTTTTACTTTTGGGCCCTGGAAGTACAGTATATCCTTTCGTTCGTCTTTTTCGGCCCGGTTTATAATAAAAAAATGTTATTTTGTGATGCTATGCCACGTAGTAAAATAGTCCGATGACGTGGTTTTATTACGTGTCGTCCTGTCTCCATTTTGTTTTAATTCTTGATATATATATTTTTTTATCTCTCTTCTTTTTTGTGTATCCAAACGCAAAGAGCTGTTGTTGTAGAGAGTCTTATTGTTGTCTGTTTTATGAATGATGTTTTTGCAAGTTGTTTTTGTTTAGTGTTAATATTAATAGATTAATATCTTCTCTTATTTTGTATGTTAGGTGATTGTCTTGTGTCTCCGTCCGTTGATGTCCAAATTAGGTCCCTCCAGAATACCAGCGTTGCAGCGGCAATTCATTTTTGCCGTTGCAACATTATGCTGAGGTGGGGCCTAGTTGACGATGGACCTTTTGTTTTATGTTTGTTGTGTATTTATTGTAATTGTTAATGTATGTCGTCAATAAATGTTTTTCTTTCTTTCTTTCTTTCTTCTTACTATATATTTGGAGCTGTAGTAACATTTGTAACGTTTACGTGGTGATCTAAGCCCATAGCTATCCTAATCTGTAAATTTACAGTAGCCGTCAACAGACATTCGGCCACAACGTAAACGGCATACCATTATATTTCGTAACAGCCGCCGAATGCTCCGCTTGGCTCCGATCCAAAGACTTGTTCCTACCACACAAATTGGAGACATGACATTCTGCATAGTTTAAGCTTCTAATTAAGCTTCAAGCTGTTCAAGTGATGTTGCCACGAGGTTCATGATTAATGCTGGTAAACTCTTTGATTAAGTAACTCCAAATTCTGGCACTGTTCTGACCATACCGGAGTTTTACAACCGCTAGTAGATGTAAAACTATTTATAACTACAGAAAGGTTAATACTTAAAGCCGAGAAAACATTCCAGCATTAAAATATTTTTGATTTGTTTGTAACTTCAGATTGTATTAAAAAAATATTTTGATCTTATTATTTCTAATGAGATTTTTCGTCATTGTTTCAGGGGCTCCCAAATGAATCTATGCAACGGCGGAGCTGGCTCGGCAGCTGTGACGGGTTTGGTGCCTAAAATTCCCAATGGATATGGTGACCAGAAGAAGCCCATGGCGACACTGACTCACCTCCCCAAACGCCCTCCAGTAGACATTGAATTCACGGATCTCTCCTACTCGGTTAGCGAAGGCAGAAGAAGAGGATACAAGGCGCTTCTAAAATGCATCAACGGCACATTCCGATCAGGAGAATTGACGGCCATTATGGGACCTTCTGGTGCTGGCAAGAGTACTCTAATGAACCTATTAGCAGGATACAAGTAAGTTTTGTATAGTCAGTATATGTTAATATTTATTAATGTTATTCATTGATCGTCTTTAAAATATAACAAATGTAAAGAAAGATGTGTTTTGTATAATATTGTGTAAGGGCCATGTAATGTGGCATCGATTCTCTCTGTCTTCGGGACACAGCGTAAAGATTATGTTCACAAAGTTATTAAATAAATTTTCTTTTATACAGGGTGTTACAAAAATACAAATAAAGCTTGAAGGGCGTTGAAGTACATCATATAAGGAGTCTTCTCTAATTTTTTTAAAATATTTGCATGAAGTTTTTAATTTTTATAAAAACAGTTATTTTTAATGATTAATAAAAATATCGATCTTTTTATGACACATCACTAGTTCGAGGATCATTAAAAATAACTGTTTTTATAAAAAGTTAAAACTTAATGCAAATATTTTAAGAAATTTAGTAAAGACTCCTTATATGATGTACATCAACGCCCTTCAGTTGATTTGTATTTTTGTAACACCCTGTATATCTGTTTAAAATAATTTTAGTTATTTATTATTTATTATTATTTATTTATTTATTAGAAAATACATACAGCTATATATATGTTATAAATAAATGTTTGATGATTTCAGAACGTCAAACGTCACCGGCTCGATACTTATAAATGGAAAAGAGCGTAACTTGAGAAGATTCAGAAAGTTGTCATGCTACATAATGCAGGACGATTGTCTGTTACCGCATCTGACAGTCCGAGAAGCGATGAACGTTGCGGCGAATCTTAAACTGGGGAAAGACATAACAGTCACTGCCAAAAAAATTGTGATCGACGAGATATTAGACATGTTAAGCTTGGCTGATGCTAGTGACACTAGGACGATAAACTTATCCGGTGGCCAGAAGAAACGCTTGTCTATAGCTTTAGAGTTAGTTAACAATCCCCCTGTGATGTTCTTCGACGAGCCTACTTCAGGGTTGGACAGCTCGTCGTGTTTCCAGTGTATATCGCTACTCAAGTCGTTGGCTAGAGGCGGCAGGACTATCATATGCACCATCCATCAACCGTCCGCTAGGCTTTTTGAGATGTTTGACTTTTTGTATACTCTTGCCGAGGGACAGTGTATATATCAAGGGAAAGTTAGTGGATTGGTGCCGTTCCTGTCTTCGATGGGCTTACACTGTCCTAGTTACCACAATCCTGCAGATTATGGTAAGCATTCATCTGTTTTTAAATGACTTAAACGTTAATGCATACTATACTATAATAAGCGTTTGTTTTAATATGTTCTAGTGATCAGATACATGCGGGCAATATTTATAAAAGTTCTTTAGAATTCTGTATTTAACGTCTAGATAGTTAACAAATGAGTGCTAGTATTCTTTTTATAGTAAGTTTATTCAATTCAAGATTATCTTTGAGGAAAATTGCAGTTCAAAAGGTCAAGTCATCACTATTTGCTTCACTCATTGCATTGTTTCTGCCAAAGTTCGTAACACATTTCATAATCAAGTCACATTGGCCTTTGAGCGCATCAACTCATCGTTTTTATCTCTTTCTGTTTCCGTTTTGTCTTCGTTTGCTCTGTTATTGTTAACATGAGCATGTTTCGAAACAATGGCGACGGATCAATTGAAATGATTGAGTTAATTAGTATCATTCTGACTGTATGTTATGTACCATTAATGTTTCATCAATTAATAATAACTGGGTCATTTCTATTATCAGCAATGCATTTAAATGTGTCACGTGATTTAAAATTATTATTTAAAATCATAATTGTGCATGCGGAACACGGTGCAAATAGCCATCGAAAATATTGATTACAGTTGGAAAATTATTATCACACCAAATCACACTATTCAACACTTTTTCAATTTATTAAAATAGTTTAAAATACGTAAATAATCAAGGCCAAAAAGTTATAATGTCATAAGTTTGAAATAAATTTCTGAACAACTCAATTTTAAACCAGTAAATTATACGGAAAGGTTACAAGTAATAACAAATACTTGAAATTGAAACGCAACTAGATATTAACTATTTCATTGACGACCTCCGTGGCCGAGTTTCATGGTGTCGCTGACTCGAGAGGTCCCGGGTTCGAATCCCGGTAGGGGCAGATGTTCGTGATGAATACTAGCATTTGCACTCCAGTCATGGATGTTTAATATAAATTTCTATATAATTAGACTTATATATGTAGAGTATATGTATTCTATCCATTACCCTGGCATCCCATAACACAAGCCTTACAGTGCTTACTTTGGAGCTAGGCTAATTGGTGTGAGTGTTGGAAATATTTATTTTATTTTTTATTTATTTATTGAGTTATAGAGAAAAGATCGAGCAGCTCTATGGCGCCGTTTGTTATTTTTTATATAAATATTCCATACACTTCCTTATACTTACACTGTGTCAATTGATGTCAATTGGTCTAGCCTCAAAGTACTGTATGCGTTCCTAAATTAAGAGTAATTGAGAAATTTTGTAAAAATATATGTCTGAGATAAAAATCCTCATTATACATCATTAAAAATTGCCTCTACTTTGATTTGAACCCAGGACCTCAGAGTAAACGACAACCTGAATACGTGTGTACATACCACTACACTACACAGAGGTCGAGGTTATAGCAGTTTGGATCTGCTGCGACCAATAAACATTACCTCTAAAATTTCCTTTCATTGAAATATCGTTTGAGCCGCTACTTAAAGAAGGCACGTTAAGCCGTTGGTCCCGGCTGCATCTGCAGTCGTTAGCACCCACCAATCCGCACTGGGCCCGCGTGGTGGGTCATGGCCCCATCTCCCTATTCCATCCATAGGGAAGGCCTGTGCCCCAGCAGTGGGGACATTAATAGGCTGATGATGATGATGGTGAAGCATCCACCATTACGCACTATCACCGCAGGATATGTTAACTTCTTTCTCCAATTCCATCCATACTTCAGTTAACAATAATATCTCCATCATTAATAGTCATTTGCGCGTTCGGCTGCGATCGTTGAAGTTAAGCAACTTTTGCAGTGGTCGGTCATAGGATGGGTGACCAAAAATTTACTAACTCAAGCTCCTCCGTGCTCTGGAAGGCACGTTTAGCCGTTGGTCCCGGCTGCAACTGCCGTCGTTAGCTCCCACCAATCCGCACTGGGCCTTTTTTTTTTTTTATTACGCAGGTAAAAAATGCTATTTACAGACGACGGCGCCTTTAAGAGGCACACCGCCGAACGGACCTCACACCTGGCTTCCGCAAGTCTTACGGGCGCCCCAGTGGCTGTCCACCGAGGACCCCGCAACTCTTACGGGCGCTTTACGGCATAATATCCGCTAAAAAAGTCCTGCGAATACCTTCTAAGCTGCTTAGCGCGAAGCCGCGGGATCCCCGTTTAGGGATTCCTCCGTGTCTCCGCACCTAGCAGCCTCCCGGCCTAGCCGGGGCTCCACGGCAGGGGTCTCCCGAGGTATCACGGGGACCCCGCAGACGTGCGCAGGTAGGCCCCCGCGTGGGGGTTGAGTACGCGGCCTAATGCCCACCGTACCGCCCCCCGTCCGCTGCAGAGGGCTACTTGGGCGTGCCCGTGTAGCTCCCTCCGCCGCCCCCCTCTTTGCAATCCGCACTGGGCCTGCATAGTGGGTCATGGCCTAATCTCCCTATTCCATTATTAGGAAAGGCCCCTGGTGAAAATGGCTTGAAAGAATAATGTTTACAATTCGAAATGCACATTGATTCCAGTTATGGAAGTGGCAACTGGCGAGCACGGAGACTGGGTCCACAAGCTGGTGATGGCGGTGAACAAGGGGAACTGCGGCCGCGGGCAGTCCTCATCATCATCGTCCACATCGTCTGTACCCCAGAACGTGAACTACAACAACGCGAGCACCAAGAATAATACTCAGAAGGCGGAGGCGCTGGAAATTGTGATAGGTAAGTACAATCATCATCATCATCAACAGCCTATCATAGTCCACTGCTGGACATAGGCCTCTTCAATTGTACGCCACTCAGATCGATCTTGGGCTACTCGCATCCAGCTCCTGCCAGCCACCTTGCGCAAATCGTCACTCCATCGTGCCTGAGGACGTCCTACACTACGTTTGCCTAGACGCGGTCTCCACTCCAGAACTCGTCTACCCCAACGGTTAGAATACACGCCACGAAAGATGAGAGATTGACGCGAGGAATTGACCACGTGGTTTGACATGCGCAGTACACGACAAAAAGATCTCTTTAAGTAATAACTAAAACTAAAAAACCTTATAATATATAATAACTAAAATACATTATTAAAAGGAGTCCCTTTAGGCAAGGTTCCAAAGATACTGGCAGCGTTCCCCCTTTGAATAGCTAGACTAATTCTTTGTCCGAGGTAGCTGCCAGCTCTTCGGTCTCCTGTGACGTCGACCAACCTTTTTTGCTATTTCCTTAAAAAGCCTTACAGCGCTAGGACATTTAATAAAATGAGCATTGTATTAAGATCTCTTTAGCGGTATGAGGTCTGGGGGGGGGGGGGGCGCCTAAGGCGGATAGAGTGCGAATAATGCGAAGAGATGGCGCTGCCTTGCAGCTTAAGAATAGCTAGAAAGAATTTCGACGCGGTCCGTGAGGGCCGCGGTAGCATAATTGGTCAGTGCATTCGCCCGGATTGCGAAGGGTGCGGGTTCGAGTCCCGTCTGCTGCCTGGTCCGCGTGAAATTTTTTCTAGTTATATTTTCTTTAGTTATATTTTCTTTAGATTTAAACATCAAGCAGTTACAAGCTTTAAAATAATAAAAATCATAATTATTTGATGATTTCATTTAAATAAGTCCAGATCTTAACGGGCACGTTGAATTTTCTTGTCTTTCTTAGGCAGCAAGGTAGCTCTATCTTTTCGCTAAAGTCCCGGTCCACAGCATTGATTATATTATCAGTCCTATATACCGCTTGAAAGTTTTAATTCACAAACCTATGTATGCCTTACAAAATAAACTATATCATTAATATTATTTTACTTCCAGATAAACCAACATGTACTGTGATAGATATGTCAGAGCCGACAACCAAGCCTGAGAAACAGAATGCTCCGAACGCGACAAACTTAGCTCCTGTAACTTGTACCACATCCCTGCTCGACTCTAGCGAAAGCTTCTCGAAGAAACCAGTCAAAGGTGGCTTCCCGACCTCTGGGTGCAAGCAATTCTCGATTCTAGTGCGAAGGACCTTCAGGAGTATATTGAGAGATCAGACGCTTACACACTTGAGGCTATATTCGCATACTATTGTGGGCCTCCTGATTGGCTTTCTGTACTACGACATTGGCTCCGATGCTGCCAAGGTGATGAGCAACGCCGGCTGCATATTCTTCACTGTCATGTTTACTATGTTTACTGCGATGATGCCTACCATTCTTACATGTGAGTTCACATATTTTTATTTATTTATCTTTAACAAAGTTTATAAGTTTATGCCTTACTTCATTAGATAATATTTTTTAGCCTATTTATTTATCTTAGTTGCGTTTACTTAAGTTTATGTCTTACTTCATTAGATAATACTAGCAAACCAGTGAACCAAATGTTCACCAAAAAAAAAAAAATGAGAACTTCGGAGATTTTGTGTGGTTTCGTTTGAAATAGAAATCACGTGATTTCTCGAAAACCGGAAGTGCTACGTTACTCACATCCGGTTTGTAGTCTTATCAGACTATTCTCAACTTATAACTAAAACATTCTCTTTATCTATCTCTTACGGTTTGGCCGCTGAAACAGCACCACGGACGGACGGACGGACTTGTCTAATAGATAAGAGATTTAATAGCCTATGTTCATCAGGGATAATGAAGGATTCCAAATGTGAAAACAATTCTTGAATCAAACCAGTAGTTTCAAAGCCTATTCAAAACAAATAAACAATCAAATATTTCCTATTTTTAATATTACTATAGTCTTCCTTCATCACTAGAAGACTAGATTTTTAGTACTGTTAAACCAAATTTATTCTAGGAATCAACGTTGATCTTTATTCGATTTTCCATCTAGGGAAGTATCCTGCACATTGCAGAAAATCACAGTGAAGTAACATTACCCTTTGGCTTCACGGAGTACCTACCCATAAGATCAGAATAGGATAGGCAGCAGACAGATTTTCAAAAATTTGGCATTGTAAAGACTTTAGATGTAGCAATAACCTTGGGCTTGTTGCTTGCGAATACTTTCAGTATAGATTTGATAAGTCAATTGAATATATTAATAAACTCAAATCTAGTTGTATTATGGCAGTTGTGAAGTCATCAGCGAGCGCAACTATTTACAGATTTCGGTTCATTGACTTCCATCTGCATAAACCTACATTTAGTTTCATCATCTGCCTATTAATGTCCCCACTGCTGGGGCACAGGCCTTCCCTATGGATGGAATAGGGAGATTGGGCCATGACCCACCACGCGGGCCCAGTGCGGATTGGTGGGTGCTAACGACTGCAGATGCAGCCGGGACCAACGGCTTCACGTGCCTTCCGAAGTACGGAGGAGCTCGAGATAGTAATTTTTGGTCACCCATCCAATGACCGACCACTGCGAAAGTTGCTAAAGTTCAACGATCGTAGCCGAACGCGCTAACCACTTGAGCCATCGAGCTCCTCTCGAAATTTAGTTTACTGCGCCACAATTTGCGCAACCTCACAGCTGTCATTTAAATTGAGTCGCACTATAAACATGTCATCATTCGAGATAAATATGTTGATTTCCTCTTTTTTCAGTCCCGACAGAAATGAGCGTATTTGTAAGGGAGCATTTGAACTACTGGTACTCCTTGAAAGCATTTTACTTCGCCAAAACTATAGCGGACCTACCATTTCAGGTAATTTCGTTACATTATCAATTTAATAAAATATCGTGGTAAATAAGAAACAGATCTAAAGTTTTACTAGAAAAAATCCACGCGGGCCAGGCAGCGGACGGGACTCGAACCCGCACCCTTCGCAATCCGGGCGAAAGCACTGATCAGTTATGCTACCACGGCCCTGATGGCCACGTCGAAATTTTTCCTAGGCCTAAGCTGCAAGGCAGCGCCATCTCTTCGCATTGTAGGTAACCCACAATGTCAAATGAATACTTTTTCAAGTAATAAAACATTTGAAAGAAGAAATAGCAATTATAGTTAGCTGCCAGGGGGCCAATCGCCTAACTGGATTGCTTTGGAAAACGCTATCGCTTACGATTTCATTTTGTTATTTCTAACCGCCGAAGTACCTCACGCTCATTTTCTTTAACATTGTTATTACCAATGCAAAAGAAAAAAAAAGAGCGCGAGGCATTTGAAAACCTCAGGGGGCTAGAAATAACAAAATGAAATCGTAAGCGATAGCGTTTTCCAAAGCAATCCAGTTAGGCGATTGGCCCCCTGGTCCCCGTGGATTTTTTTTTCTAGTAAACCTTTTCTTTAGATTTAAACATCTAGCAGTTAAATGCTTAAAAAATAAATAGAAACATAAGAAACGTATTCTTTATCACCATAAAGAATCCGTTATATTTCGTTTATCCTTTTTTTACTTACCACGGTAACTTTGCCTATTAATGTCCCCACTGCTAGGTTACAAACTTTTCCTGTGGTAAGCATAGTGAGACTGGGCCATGACCCAACACGTTGGCCCAGTGGGGATTGGTGGGTGCTATCGCCTGCAGATGCAGCCAGGACTCACGGCTTAACGTATTTTCCGAAGCACGGAGGAAGCTCGGGATATGAATAAGGAATGGCCCACGCGGGCCCAGTGCGGAATGGCAGGTGCCAACGACTGAATTAATGTGCCTTCCGAAGCACGGAGGAACTCGAGATAGAAGATTTTTGGTCACCCATCCAATGACCGATCACTGCGAAAGTTGCTTAACTTCAACGATCGCAGCCGAACGCGCTAACCACCTGCGCCATCGAGCTCCTCATACATTTCTGCTATTTATTTTTAGCTATAGAGATACACTTAAGTGTACTGGTTTGTGTAGTCAATCAATCATTTTGCGATGTAGTCAATTAAAGATATAGACGTAATGACATCTACTCATTTTGCGAAATAGTCATTAACTAGCAAACCAGTGAACCAAATGTTCACCAAAACCTGATTTAAAAAAAAATCTATTTAATTAATTGAGAACTTCGGAGATATTGTGTGCTTTCGTTTTAAATTCGTGATTTCTCGAAAACCGGAAGTGCTACGTTACTCAAATCCGGTTTGTAGTCTTATCAGACTATTCTTAACTTATAACTTAAATATTCTCTTTATCTATCTCTTACGGTTTGGCCGCTGAAACAGCACCACAGACAGACAGACGGACGGACTTGTCTAATAGATAAGAGATAAGGGTTAGATTCATTTCGACCTAGACAACCCGAGATCAACAAAATGAAATGTATTTATAGAAAAACTAACTGACTCGGCGAACTTCGTACCGCCCAAAAGTAATAATTTGCAATAAATTAAAATTGCGACTATAATTTGAGATTTAAACTATCCTATCTCTCAAGTTGGATCGAACTGCACATGGTGTGCGAATTTTATTATAATCGGTTCAGTGGTTTAGGAGTCCATTGAGGACAAACATTGTGACACGAGATTTATATATATTAAGAAGATAGTTATATAAATACCAAGCAGTTTTTAAGTCCTTTATTTGCAACAAAAAAGCATGTTTTAACGAATGTTTTAAACATCTTACACTGCAGGTTGTCTTCAGCGGATTATACGTAATGATAGTTTACTTCATGACGGGGCAGCCCCTGCAATCGGACAGGGTACTCATGTTCGTCACCATCAACATCCTGACGGCGCTAGTAGCCCAGTCTTTGGGCCTCCTCATCGGCGCCGCGATGAAGATCGAGACGGGCGTCTACCTCGGCCCAGTCACCACCATACCAGTAGTTCTCTTCTCCGGATTCTTCGTCAACTTCAACGCCATTCCTGGCTACCTCCGCTGGCTTACTTACCTCAGCTACGTCCGCTACGGATTCGAGGGCGCCATGCTATCCGTCTACGGCTTCGAGCGGGAGAAACTCAAGTGCTCCGAAGCCTACTGCCATTTCAGAAAGCCGGAGAAGTTCCTCAAAGAGATGACCATGGATCAAGCCAACTTTTGGGTCGACGTCGGCGCCCTCTCCGCTTTCTTCGTCTTCATAAGAGTAATCTCGTACTTAGTGCTAAGGTTCAAATTGAAAATGATGCAATAGATTAGATGCACAAAGCTTTTTAATGCGACGAAACCCGATTCCCTTTCTGAACGGGCACATGCGTCTCTACTAGTGATGCAACGAATGTCATTTTTTGAACATTCGCGAATACAAATGCGGATGCGAATGTCGGTACCGACATTCGCGAATGCGAATGCGAATATTTAGTGTTTTTTTTAAATTGGCGCCAATTGTCTATGGCATGGTGGCAGTCTCGTTCGAATTGCCGAGTTGATATGAACTCATTCGACTGAAGTGTCATTCCGCTCGCACCGGTCTTTCCGTAAACAAAACAAGTGAATTTTGAGGTTAGTGATTGTGAGTGGTAATAGTGATTTATTAACATGAGTTAATCCAATTCTAGTGAAACATGGACTTATTTCACACTTTGCGATGCTGAACGAGCTAAATGCAAACTGTGTAACAATGAATATTCAGGGAAAGGCAGAACTACAACTTCTTTAAAAAAAATCTAATATTCTCATATTCGCAAAACATTCGCAGAGATTTTTAGAAATGCGAATATTCAAAAATATGCGAATATTCGTTACATCACTGGTCTCTACGCATTCCTCGGGCGTCCGCTATGCTGATTTGCGTATCCCCGTTCAGATAGTTAAGAATAGTTATCGAAATACTTAGCTTTTTAGTACGCAGGAGTTAGATTGTTTATACGTACCTCTAGGGGTTAGTTAGCCTAAGGTTTTATAGGAGATTGGGCCCATGACTTAATATTAAGTTCCTTTAATTTAGGTGTATTGTTAACTTTAATGGGTTTCCTGTTTTTAGTAGCCTGCTTTTTTCTCTCCGTGTAGCATTATAATAAAGGTTACGGATTAGCCCTTGCCGAGTTTTCGATTTCTCGGTTCGGTTTCAAAAAAATCATGGTCGTTTCGTATATCATGATGACGTAAGTAGTTGTAAAATTCTTATGTTAAATGAACATCTTCGTTATTTTGCTACAGCCAAATCGGTCCTCATTCACGTATTATTTGGATCATAAAATCATATATTTTAGGTAATTTAACAATCAACGATTTAGCTCAAAACATTTTATCCTATAAATCAGGCGTACATTGTGCTGCAGTCTAGTATTTTTGTAGTGTCTTTGTATCTGATGTCATATACGAGAGTGCTGCTATCTAATTTGGGATCATAAGAATGTATGTGATGTCATCTCATATTTATTTTAATAGATAGATTAGATTTATATTTGTAAACATCACAGCTTATAAATTGTGCTGAGCACAAAACTTTCCCGAATTGTGGATACCATAGGTTATATGAAATAATTAATGAATAGAATTAGTCTTAACGAATGGCCTCATCATTCCTATATTTTTTTATAAATAAAATGTTATATTTCTTTTTGATTAAGATGTATGGGCTTATCTTTATTATCTTGTAAGGTGTGATTGTCGTGAAAAGTGGCTACTAAAAATCATATTAATTAAATGGCCCATAGGAAATAAATCGGTGTATAGCTGAGTCTTATGCGTAAATATTTTTTATTAGCTGCATTTATATAAATTGGAATGGTTAAGAAAGACAAACGAATTCCTACAAATATGTGTTAGCTATCACACTGCAGGATTAAATTTGCGAAAGGACATGGTAAAGTTTTGTATGAGCGACTGCCCTGGCAATGTATAAATACTGTACTTAGTAATAGTTAATGGTAAAAAGCTAAGTATTTATAATTTCTATGAAAAAAGGCTCAGGAACTTTTGATAGTCACAATCTTGAAAATTATGAGAACTCCTACTATGTCATTACCTTACTAAAGTTGATAAAAGATGTTGACAATTATTTACAGAGTGATCAATTTCGCATTTTCTTAGAATCTTTCTTCCCATTTCTCTGTATAACTCTTCAAAAAAAAGTTTTTTTAAAGCAAAAACAAATACAAATAATTTGTTATCGTCGGCCTGACAGGTAATCTGTGAAGTTTTATTTTGTCCATTTGCAAAAATTAAACGATTAATTATCGTACAGCCTTGTCTCAAGCCTAAGCAGAATAATAAAATCTATTATTTTAGGCCTTCCGTGATTTGTTGTAACAAAAAATAGGGCCAAATATGTTATAGTTTGAAGGAGTTTAGAAATAATATTGTTTCTTTCGTTAAACTTACACAGATATATATTTTGTGTATATTTATTGTTCATTTATTTTGTAAAACGGAACATTTTGCTTTTGAAACAGACATGGAAGTCAATTTTTATACTTTTAAATATTTGATTATTTCACGAAAGTTGTATGAGAATAATAAACACGTAATAATTAATAAAAAAATATTGTAAAGTTACGGGCTAGTTCGAAATATTTATACACGTTAAGGGCAGTTTCTTAGCCATGTCCTTTATTTACAATTTCAATCTGAGTTTGCGTTGTAGTAAAAAAAAAATATTTTCATCAAATTGATGAAGTTAAGCTATCGTTTTATTTTAGCAACGTCAACGATTTTCAATCTTCTTTGACCTACTATGGAATTAAAAATATATGAAAACTTAATTATTCTGTATAAATGAATAAGTAATAAAGGTACGTAGTGCCAATTGATCATCACTTGGATGGTCCTTACACTGCAATATCCTCATCTTTTATCAATCCCTGTATGCTGATTATTTGAGATTTCAGCATGTTTTTTGATGAATGTTTTCCATGGTGGTTTTATATAGTTACTGTAGGATTTAGTCAAATTTTTGCTATACGCATTCATGAGTTTCTTATTTCATTCAACCCAGTTCAAAATGTTTTCGGTCGTTGCATCATATTTCAGTCTGCGATGATTCCTTAATGTTTTATTTACAATTCTATTTCGTATGTATATCTTACAACGATCATAACTACTTAAGCTTCAAAGTTATCAATAGGAGTGTTATTTGAGTCTAAGATTTTCGTCACTAATTAGACGAGACTTGGCTAGCAACTATCGAATGATTCTCTATGGGCCAAGCTATTTCACGAAGCGACATCCATGCCGTTTTACTCGTATCTACTCACTTAAAAACATTACATTTATAGACTTTAATTAATTAGATATTCTTGAAGTACCTTTCATTATTATACTAAGATTTTTTGGTAAAATCTCTATACCTACACTAATTACCAGTATTTATTATTAAATAAACGACTGTGATTTTTATAGCTTTGCTTGGTTTTATTATGAACCCATTCTTTATAATATTGGCTAAGAATCAAATTCCAGTATATTCTGTGGTATATGGCACCAATGACGATAAATTAACAAAGTTTGAGTCAATTAAGTGAGCTCGTGATAAACAGTAGGTAAAGAAAGAAAAACATTTATTGACGACATACATTAACAATTACAATAAATACACAACAAACATAAAACAAAAGGTACATCGTCAACTAGGCCCCACCTCAGCATAATGTTGCAACGGCAAAAATGGATTGCCGTTGCAACGCTGATATTCTGGAGGGACCTAATTTGGACACCAACGGACGAAAAAACAATCTGGCCCTCGCATCCCTCGCTCATAGCAGTCCAGCACAAAACAAAAATATAACAGAAGAGGTTGTGTGGGCTCGGCTCTTTGCCTACATTTGGATACACCAAAATAAGAGAGAAAAAAAGACAAAACCTTAACCTAAGCAATGTTGTCTATGGAATAAATAAAGAACAAAATGGAGACAACACGACACGTAATGAGGGCTATCGCGTATGAATCCGCCGCTAGAGGCGCTAGTGTAGCGTGAGGTCTCCGAAATGTCAAATGTTATTGCTTGTTGGTTGACTATGCGGGTTTATTTCTTATTAAAATAATGTTGTGAATAATTGGTAACAATTCGGCTTAATTATGGCAAATATGAGTTATGTCAGTTATTAAAAATTTGAGCTTAGAAAAATGATTATGTTCCCATTTTTTCCGAATAAAACGGAACTGGGCGTCACTGTGGCATGGACTATTATGTTTAGGATATGGTTCTTTTGTGTTAAAATACGATCTAAATGTAACCTTTGTTTTCATGTGCGTATTAATAAACTTTAAAAGTTACAATTTAGGACCTCACTCAACAGTGGCGCCATCTGGTGAGACAGAAAACGGTAGCCCTCATTAGGGGTGTATTCCAAAATATACATCAGTATACCTGAGGTGGGTAGATTCTTTGCGTCCTGTCCACCAGGATTGTATCTCATAAAACCTCTGAGACGTTTACAGGCAAATGGCAAACTCGTAGGATTTTGTCTTAAAATTACAACCAGTTATCATATACATTCATCGTCTTACATACTCTTGTCCGGATGCCATTGTACAGAATGCACCATTAATGGTGCAATATGTGTATTTTCCTTACATTATGAGATAAGGCTCCTTGGAATACCAACAAGCCAACCAACTGTTAAGAACCTTTCAACTTACAATAATAATAATCGGACAAGCAACCACGGCTAACTGTATTGGTACAATTAGTAATTGGTAGTCTTAGATCAAAACAAAAAGGGTAGATACGGTACGCTCATACTTGCATCAAACAAAAACTAATCCCACGGTAGCGCGAACGGGACGGGGCGGGCGAGATCCGCGTCACTGCATTACCGACCCGAACGAAACAGCATGTTAAGTTTCAACGGCAGCGCGAACGAGACGGCGAGATCCGCGTCACTGCACTACCGACCAATCACGCGACCAGTACTCGACGTAACCGAATAAGATTCAAAACAAACAGCAATTTTTATGAAAAAATATATTTTATAGTACTTACGAATGAAAAGTGATGCCGTGGGTTTTATTTTTAGTTCTTGAGCAATTTCAGCACTTTTTAAAAACACACTGAGGCATTTTTTTATCATTTATACACAAAATATTAGCAATATTTCTTTTTGGCGTTCACATGTACGTCGTTTGCATGTCAAGTTGTGACTAAAGCGATTAGGGTCGTGGACCACAATTCATGCGGATCACTTTTGTGAGGCTAGTGCCGTATCTACCCTTTTTGTTTTAATCTAAGTTGGTAGTACAGGTACAAAAAATATTGAAATGAAATAAAATGAAATGAAATGAAAAGGCATTTATTCAGTCTAGGCAGTTACAAGCACTTGTGAAGGTCAAGAAGCTACGCCATCGGTTCGCAAAACTACGGCGGGAGACCTTGTACTGAGAAGAACCGGCAAGAAACTCAGTAAGGGCTGTTTTTTTCTCCCTGAATTGTTATATACAGAGTTGTCAAGTTGAAAAATGACTTCAGAGATACGTCTGAAGTCACCATCCATTACATCATTTAGAATATAAATATATAGTTACAAAATTATATAATATATAGTTGTACAGTATCTTTATATATATAATTCTTCTGTGAGTGTGTATGTCACTGAACTTCTCTTAAACGACTGGACCGATTTTGATGAAATTTTTTGTGTGTGTTCAAGGGGATCTGAGAATGGTTTAGATTCACAATTTTGTCCGCTGGACAACCCCTATTTTTTTAGGGCGGTACGAAGTTCGCTGGGTCAGCTAGTATAGTTATATAATTTATTTTATAGTTAAAATTTTATTTAGTATATAGGAATGCGGCATTAGATAGGTACAATATTACTGTTATGAAAAATGACTAATACCCATCAAATAACAAATTACAAGAAACACTATGTCCATGCATTATAATCATTTAGATAATCATCAACTTTATAACAGCACTTAATCATAAGAGTATTTTTGATCTGAGATTTAAATTTAGTCAGTGGAAGCTCAATCAGATCTAGGGGAACTTTATTAAACAATGCAATACTGCAACCCACCCAACAATGCAACTATTGAAATACAAATCTAAAACACCTCTATTCTGATTTCTTTAGTCCTGAATTGTATGTTGATTTCGCTAGCATATAACCAGAGGTACAGGTCGCCGCACATAACTCCAGCGCTGAACAAAACGCGGAGGGGATAGCTGCGTATGGGTACGACTTAGGGTTCCCAACCCTCCCGGATTGCCCGGGAGACTCCGGTAATAATAGTTAACCTCCCGACCTCCCGGAGTAGGCTTGTTGAAAATATATCGATGTATCGATATATCGATATTTTTTGTTCGATATATCGATATTTTTTGCCGATATATTTTGATTCGATATATCGATACATCGATACAAAATAACCAATATCGAAATTCGTATCAAAAACGATATTTTTTTTAATTATTAGCGGCATATCACGATCTAATTTATTCTGAGATCCAGTTACGATTTTTCCAGATACGAATTTATATCTGGAAAAATCGTAACTGGATCTCGGATTAATGATATTCAATATATCTATGATCTGTGCTGTATTTAGTATTCTTTATGTCATCATTGGAAAATAGGGTCTATTTTTAGGGAGAAAATTTTCGTTCCATTATTATTCCGCGTGTCATATTTCGTGAGCTCGTACGTTCGTGTACGATATTTTTGAGAAAATTGGTCCGATATATCGATATATCGATGTTTTTTTCGCGATATATCGAAGCCGATATTGATGTTTTTTAAAATATCGATGTATCGATATATCGATATTTTTTTCAACTTTCGACATCCCTATCCCGGAGAGCAATAATTTCTCCGGTCTAAAACTTAAATGCAGATATCGCTATTTACTCGCTGTGTAGTTAAATTAAGTAATTTGAGAAAAATAAAAAAGTAGAATGGGTATTTCTTTAGTACAAGTACTAACAAACTTCGATTTTTCATGTAAAAGCTTTTATGATTTTGTGGTGAAAAATCGACAAATATTAGCTGCTGACATCTGAATGGCTGCTGAATCGACAATTTTTAAACAAAATAAATATAAATTTAAAAATTAATGATTGATTTCCTTTCAGTCCGATACCGACCCCCCCCCCCCCCCCTTCTCCCATATTAATTTCTTAAACATACAATTCTCCCGGGTTGGTCCTTTCGAGAGTTCCCTCGGCGCGCCGCACGCACCGCGCACCTCGTTTCTCCCCAAAGACATCTTAAAGCCTATTCTAGACGGCTGTAATCCAGCGTACCAACCAAGCTGACCTTGGTGGGAAGTTGGTTTCCATCCGCGTTATGATTTTCGGCTACACGGATGTAATCCACGCATCAACACGCAATCGCGAGCCGTCTTCTGGCGTGAAAACACATATAATGCGATTCAAATAAGAATAGGACAGCCAATGACCTCCATCTGTCAAATGTCGCTTGAATAGTACGGTTAGCAAAAAAATCTCGAAACACTTTTTTAGCACTGAGCTGATTCTAGAATAAAAACCAAACATTTTTAAACAAACAATAACAAATAGTGATAATTAATATTATTTGTTTTTTTTTTACTTATTAAGTATTGGCTTTGAATGGTTGGTAGCCTAAATCGCCAACCAAATGTCACTTCATGTTGCATTTAGAAACTCGATTTAAAACTTTCGTTTACATATAGGATGCATGTTCGTATGTGACCTGCATGATTATTCATAACTTCTCCGGCGGTAATGCAGAGATGAGCGAAATTGAAGAGCTAGATTCTGATTAATGTTTTTTTTTTCACACAGTCATAATAAAGAAATACTATTAAAAATCGGTTGAGTTCTTTCTCAACCTTAGTAAATTAATTTTATTAAAAAATCTGATGTTTTATCTCACTTAATCTTAGTAAATAAGTTTTATTAAAAAGCAAAATTTTTTTGCTCACTCTACCTATTTGGTTTGAATTGACAGCTATGACGTCAAAATATGGCGCCCAGTCGGTCCTATTCTTAATTGAATCGCATTGTATGCACTTGTATCATGCGCGGACTGTATTAACCGTGCTGTGCTCCAAATTTGTCTAAATTTCAAAATTTGGGCTTTGCCTTAACAGTTTTGTGTGCAATAGACGACGAAAAACAAAAAAAAAGAATGTGGATGAAGCGTTGGTTACAGCAACGAGTGATTCTCAGCCATTCTAATTCATTCAAACTTATTGGAGTTATTGGACTTTAATGATATTCATAGTTGAAGTGGCAGTGGGCTGGCCATATTTACCGAAGAACCGATAACCGTTGGGGTAGACGAGTTCTGGAGTGGAGACCGCGTCTAGGCAAACGTAGTGTAGGACGTCCTCAGGCGCGATGGAGTGACGATTTGCGCAAGGTGGCTGGCAGGAGCTGGATGCGAGTAGCTCAAGATCGATCTGAGTGGCGTGCAATTGAAGAGGCCTATGTCCAGCAGTGGACTATGATAGGCTGTTGATGATAATGATGATATTCATAACTTACTAAGAATACGTGCACGCATACGTGCACATCCGCCGTCTGCCACAGCGCAACTGTCTTTGGTTAGATCTAATCCTCCGGCCAAACGGTTGTAAACCACGAGCTCCAACCGCGGATGGAAACACGCGCCCGTAATCCAAAAACGTTGTAGGTCAAATCAAAATTTGGATTACATCCTTCGTCTAGATGGATGGCAACGGGCAATGTCACCTTGGTTGGTACGCTGGATTACATCCGTCTAGAATATGCTTAAATGTGACTTCCGCACAGTAACGGTCAGTGCTAGAGTTTCGTTTCGCGACTTATATAGTCAGTGTTAAGGTCAGGGTCAAATAACTCTATTTGTATTTATACTGTGTGACACAGCAATCAAAATGCAGGTGAACAATTAATGTATAATTTCACATTTTGTAATGAAGGGTGACTTCATGAATCATCTCTGAAGTCATTTTTCAACTTGACGACTCTGTAAATGATAAA